GTACAATCACGCGAATGAGAACGAAGAAACAAAAGAGACGCGGTGACAAAAAGACTGATGTGTAACCAGCGCCCACGCGGATTGCTCGCGGGTGAACTGAAAAGCGACGAGGGAGCGAATTAAGTTTCCCAGCGTTCAATTAACGTCGCTACCCCTCGTGGATCGATTACGTACGAGGAAGAGAAGGAGGAGTGAAGGCGAGCGTACGCGCTGACAGGGCGACATTTGTAACAGCGATCGGATGAATCGCGGGGGAACGGCGCAATGGCCGGCCGGCCAGGTACGGGAGAGAAGAGAGGAGCGCGAGTCAGGAGACGCGGGTGGCCGGCATCGGCGTGCATCGGTGGCGGCGGCGTCGACGCCGTCGTCGTTGGTCGGGCTCACGAGCGGAGCAAGCGTCGTTCGAAGTCAGGTGACGAGGGAAGGGGGAAGCAAGGTGTAGCGTGGGAAGAGTGGCTGGCAGTCAGGTAGGGGTACGTGGCAAAAGGCAGAAATAATTCCACATTTGCCGAGGTGGCTCGCACGTGTCACACGGCTGCCTCGGTAGGCCCACACACGTGCATACACGTGTTTTTATATCCTCGTTCCGCGGTGGCACGTGAATAGAACGCGGGGATGGCCGAGGACGCGAAACAACAGCGGCAGAATCGGGACGAACGCACGGTGAAAGAGTAACGACGAGAAGGAGCGAGCGAAAAAAGAATCGTATACAGTGCGCGGCGAATAAAAAGGGGGTGGAACCAAATACATGTACTGTACGACGCGTACTGTAGTGAAAGACGGGGAGCGTGATTAAAGCCTACGGGATTTCTAAATATACGCGTATTGCCGGCAATGTGCAAGAATAGGAGGCAAGCAGTACGACTCGCGAACGCTTCTCGTGAGAGAACGTGAGCGAATGGAACGTGAGCTCGCAGTGGGCACCGCGACGCCGCCGCCGCGGCGTCAACCGGACGCGCGTTCGGATAGGTCGCTTACCGCGGAACAAACTACCTGCCGGCGGGTTCGCGTTCGAATCCTCTATCAGCCTTTCTCGCATACAGGTAACCAACGATTTTCCTATTACTTTACACGTCTACGCTCCTTTCCTCTGTCCGCGAGCCACGCGGGATCCTACGACTTGGCACGCTAGTTGCACCCCGTCCTACTCACTATAACCGGACCGACTGTTCCGTTCAACCGCTCCTGCACTTGTTGAATTCACTCTCGAACCGGAGTTCGTGCTCGCGATACTCATCACGCCACCCCTTCGATGTTTCCTCGGATCGATTCTCATGTATGCTTCATTATTAACTCCTTGCAGATTGTGGTTAAAACCCTATTTAAGTGTAAAAATACTAACTGATAGTAAGAGTTGTAAAATATAAGTGGACTTGTAAAATTCGCGATTATGATACAATACACATGCACAGGGTGAATCAGTAAGAACATTAAATAATTCACTATCCTTTGACTGTATGAAAGAATGATTTATGTGCATTACAGAGTCAGCAGATTTTAGGAGAGTTATTCAATTTTAAAGAGTATGCTGTCTGCTTGTATATTTGATGGATCTCATTCAATTAATGCGGTCTTGCATTTTAATAAAACAGCGACAACAGAAATATTGTTCTACGTAAACGATTATAATGAAATTCGGATCTACCGTCAAATGTACCGTTAAGACGGTGAAACGAACAGCTGCCTTCCTCGGATTCGCTTTTATTTCTCTCTTAACACGTTCCTCACGTAAGTATTTACGTTGCGGTCGGTCGTTGCCACCCCTTCGTTTCGCTACTATTTTCTTATTCTCGGTACTCGACTCTTCGCGAGGACAGCCTCGCAAGCAATCGTGACTCGAGGTAGGTCAGTAACTGCGTCCTCGCCTCCTCTCGCCCTTTCGCCCGCCACCCCACGTTCCGTTTCCAGTTTCATTCAAGCGAATAGTATTCCCGTGTCGCGGCAACTACTTCGGAATTTCATTGCCTGCCGCTGCGAATACATCGAGAAGTTTGTGTACTCGATCCAGATTTAGAAATCATTATTCAGATTGATACACGTTCGTATCGAAGCTTCTGTCGAGTTCTGAAATTACTAGATGACGTTTCCAAGAAAGAATGTTACATTCGTAACGACGCCGTCTCGGGAGATGATTTAGCATGCGTCGAAGAGAGACATGTCATAATTTATTCTACCGACGACCGACAGACATTTACACGTGGCGTTCTCGGTGAACCGACGAGGACGCCTAATTTCTTATTACGCTCAGGAATGCTTGAACTCGGGGCATAACTAAAAATAAAAGTGCCGTCACGATTCGTTTGAAGTACCTCTCAAAAAGCTTAGATATGAAAAACAACGTTGCGTCATATGTACTTGTTGGCTCGTGCTACATTAGGATTCTGTTCCATCTCGTCGGATTTTCATATTCCGAAGACGTATTACAACGACATCGTTTCCCTGCTCGGGTTTATTTATTATTCACTGCGGTGTCATCGGCTGGCACCCCGCTGGTTATAAATAATCGCTTCCGTTAAAACTAAACGCGCAACAACCTTCGATAAATCAATAAATCTTTCCCTACGATGAACTGCTACTGTTGCAACAGCGTTGCACAAGACCGAACGTTAAATATAGAATGTAAACGAGAATCGAAGCGCGTTGACACCGAGCCTCCGCACTATTTAATTTCACCCTGTTTCTGCGAAGGGAAACTGAATGTCTGTTTACCACGTTCTCTCCGTTTCTTAGTTCCAAAGCATTTCTATCCGAAATTTTAAAGATTATTTCAAATTCGAATTATCTGACTCTCTGAAATTATTTCATTTATTAAAATATCACAAATTACTTTATAATGCCTCAATTGGTCGTACATTTTACCTCAGTAGGCACGTGGATACGTATATTTAACGTACGGATGATATAATATTCAATCGGCTGGTGAACCGTAAAAATGAAGCAGGGCTCGCACGACGAATGACCCAGTTTGTTCACACAGTATCAACACGACAGGCAATCGACACCTTTTCGTGAAAACGAGATAACTGCGAAACCCGATTCGGTTGAGTTCAACCGAAACGTTGCCTGCGCTGCAAAGCGCACAAGCACTAACAGCCCGTTCTTCACTTACGTAAACCCGCCGTTACTCCCGCTAATTACCTAGCGCTGCGCTGCTCTGATCGAATGACCTGATTTAAACCCAGTCGCGTTCGAGAATCGATAAATAGGCTTTTCGCTGGGGAAACCGTTCATGCCGTTTCCATCCCGAAACCGTAATTCGAGAGAACGCGGCTCGGGGAAAATTAAAAATTCATCCACCGCCCCGATCGATATCCACTTTCTTCTATTTGTCCCACCTGTTCGCCGCGCGTCGTACCCTCCGTAGTTCGTAATTAGCCTACCGGGTGATCAAATATTTATCAAGCCTTCGTACATAGACTCATTTTCGTTGAAAATAGCGTAGGCAGAATACAAATAGTGTTCGCGATAATAAATGATCAATAAATTATCGGAGCGAGTTTTTCAGCTAATGTTTCAATATCATTAACGTTCAACATTTATCACGGCACTGCACGCATATTTGCAAAATTGATTCGTATCAAGCGAGACAATTGTTTTATAAAAATTGGTGATCGAGAATATAAGAAGATACAGAATTTTGAATACCAAACGCATGACGAAGCAGACTATCGAAAAGGATATTGAAAAACATGACGGGTTGTATCAATGGCAGACGTAATTGGCGCAAAGTCCCGCTTGGTACCGGCTACTGTATCAACATCAAGCGGCACTCGACGATCAGGCAAAAAGATCTCCGGCAAGCTTCGATACGTGTTCGATGGCTCTCATTCGCTTTCCCGTCTCGTTCCTCGCCGAGTTCCTCGAAGCGTGTCCGCGCGGAAAGATGAACGCGCGTGACTGACTAGCGGATAGTCGCTCGGTCGCCAGTTCCATGTTTGGCGATCTCTGCTATGGGGAGAGAGCGAGCCGAGCCGAGCCGAGCCAAGCTGACCACTCGGACGACACGAGAGGCTTCCCTTTGAACCAGCAGTGTCGATCCGGTCGCGTTTTACGCCATATCCCGCTCGCGAGTTCCCGCCGGATCGTTCGATTCCCTTTACACTCGAAAGGTCGCCCGTTCTAAGGCTCTCGAGTAGATCGTGGGGCACGCGATGGACGCCGGCAAGACGAAGTGTAAGTTCAACGTTGAAGGCTGACGCGTGGGCGAGATCGGTGAACTCTGAACTTCCCTCGCGTGCATCGCGTAGCTGTTTCAGTTGTATCGATTCCTCCGTTCTAACGGAAGGGTGACATGTGCTCGGTGCTGTTCAAACGGCTAGTCGTCGACAGGATGGAGCGGAGAGACAGAGAAAAAGGTAGAGACGAAAGTTAAGATGATCCTCGCTTAGAGCAGAGTGGCTGTACTGTGAATATGTCGAGGAGGCAAATACGTTCTCGATGAAACTTACCGAGCTGAAAAGATTCTAATCCCTTAAAGGAGTGGCACGAGTGGGGGGGAGTTATTTAAAGTGCTCGGAAGCCTTTGACCTGTCGATCGATTCGATCGAATTTAGTACACAATAGGAAATTCATTAGCAAATATTTTGAACATTTGCGAGTTTATTTAATTAAGTATGTAATAAAGCATTTAAACACATCGATACTGCATTGAAGTAATAGATAATAACTTTACTACTAATTAATTGTACTACTTTTCATATATTACAGAAATATTTCTAATTATAGATCCCTCTCATAAAATTCAAGTTATCGTTCAATTATCGAAGACGAGCATCGAGCTCTTAATTTATCGGCGGGTTGTGATCGACTTGCAGATCGACCGAGGCACGTCAGCTCTGAAGAGATGCAGCGGTGTCCGTATCTCCACGAGATGAAGGAGCGCTTGCTCTCGCAGCCAACGCCGACCGACAGCCTGGACATGGAACGTCTCGACGGGACTCCAGTGAAGGAGCCAAATCTGCACAACGATTACCCAGCACACACGAACCCCGGCGTGATACCGGATCCCCCGGAAATGCCGCCCGATCCCCTGATCGGCACCGTCGTCAAGGTAAACTGAACGGCTTCACCCCTTCCGAATTATCTGCATACATCAATGAATAGAGAAGACTTCTTTCAAAGAGTCACTTTCACTTTCTCGCCTATCGATTTCGTTGGCAACGCGACTATCAGTAAATAGACTGCTGGCTTTAATGCAAAATATACTTTATATAAATTGTTTCATTATACGTTGATGAAGTCAACGAGGAATACTAAGATTATTTTATATTACTCGGGGATTGCTTTAACTTTATTAAAGCGAACGTTACAAGTAAATAGCCGCCCCAAGTTTCGACAATCAACCAACGGGATAACTTTCCCGAGAAGTTTACAATCTCTCCTACGAAACTTCTGAACTGGGTGCAATTTTATAAAAGTGCAGAAAGAATCGTTATTTACCATACAGAAATATTTCTGTTCTAAATGAACTAGTCAATCTTAAACTCTTTTTCGTTCCATATAAAATATTGTACAGAATTTTAAATTAGAAAGAAAGGTCCAATTATGTAAAATCTTGGGAAACGATGTAGTAATTCTTGTATAAAAGATCATTCACCCTTGTACAAGAATAAATGAATGAAACTCAGCCGTCATAAAGATTTTATTAATTCAAGACGCATAATTGATTGGTTTTAGCTAAATTCGGATGGTTACGGTTCGCACACGTCTCCGGCTCACGCGAGACAACCCCTGGTGCCGCAAAATACGAACAATCCGCCCCTCTGTCTCACCCCAACGCACTCGGGCCCGACCAATGGCACGCTGCCAAAGAACGCAAAGTAAGTACATTCTTACCAAGTGCATTCTTAACATCCTCGGGACCTTACGTGTATGACTAAAGGCCCTCGCGCGGCTCGTTTTTTGCCCGGGCGTACCGCCAACAGCGTGCCTGTCTTCTAATTGCTTTTACACGACTGCGATTCCACGGAGGATTTGCATAAACGCGTCGCATAAGTATTTGCGCTCGCCGCTTTGTTCGCGCGTACAGACGACGTCCGCGTTGGATAAAAATACAGTATTACGGATACGCGCGTGGGATTGAAAAAGTGTCGGAAGCTCGAGGTTAAAAATATAATTTGCATGCGAGTCGAGGAATTAATGGGGCGAGAGGAAACATGATTACGTCAAGGTATGTTGTCTGCCTCCGCTCGTCAAGTCTTAGGACATGTTCTGAAACGTATAAGCAAATCAGATTACTAGACTTTATGCGAAGCAATTGGATTTTGTATTTAAATAAAGAAAAGTTATTATGCGCTTATCACGGATGTTCATGCATTTATGGGAATGAATCTAAAGTAGTTTTGAAAACTCAGTAATCAGTAATATGTATAGAAATACAGAATATCCAAAATACGATTGCAAATTTAGGAATTTGTTTATGTCGTAAGTCTTATGAATTAGGAGGTATATCTTTTCAATAGTATATCAGCGAATCAGTTTAGGCTTTTGGTGCCCCGTGGCTCCGACTGAAAATAACCCACAGGCCTACACGTTTTCGCGTTTTGCGGCCTCCCAACATGCTGGCACGTATAGTTAATCCCGCGAGCCAGAGTTCCATAGGGACGTTTGCTTGGTTGTTAGACGCCTGCCGGGCCAATCGTTTATTTCGGCAGAGCGCTGTATTGACGTTCGCGAAACGGAAACAGCCTGCAAACTCGTCTGAAACTATTATAAACAAACGTGTGCCAACCGTGGACGATACCGGTTTCGAAACACCGATTCGAAACTATGCTCGTGATCCAATTTGTCAAACTCTGTGTAGTCCCAACGTAAGTGCAGTAGTAGAACAACCGAGTATCGGACCGGTTGCAATTAAAGCGCGAGTTTGTCAGGGCTTCGTTAGACAGCTCGTCGAACGTGTTTGAAGGGGGTGAATCTGTTTTATTCTTCTTAATGTATACGCACGGTTAAAGAGGAACGCCATCTTGAAGCAGCCCTCAGGCGGCGCATACGAAGAAGGCAGGTCGCGTTGGCGACCTCGAGGACGCAACGATCCGGGCCAAAAAACCGGGCGAACTTGCTCGAATTTCTCTAAAAGGATCGCTCGTTTCGAAACAATTGAGAGAACGGTTCGCAGATAATTTAGGAATACTAGGAAATGAGTAGTTTGGATGATACCAATTTAAATAGAAACAATACTGACACTTAAACGAAGTTAAGCAATAGTTCATTAAATTAAACGAATTACCAGTTATATTAAGAGAGACAAAAATTGAATGAAATCTCGAGGAAGGGGCGAACCATCAAACAACTAGTTATTATATTCTATGCCTCGCTTCGTGTGAACACTTTTTTATACGACGAACAGTTTACTGTAGGTGGCACGGTTGAATTACTTACCCCGTGTGTTAATAAAAGTAATTGATCGACGATGCACTAATCCCGTTTTTAACTGTGTCGAATCAATCGGGAATTACACGGTCAAATCAAGCCGCGTAAATTGGTTGATGAACGGAGATTTTCAAATTTGAAAAAGCCCACGACTCTACTGATCTTCCCCCGAGCTTTCATCCAGGGTTTAGTTCTAGAGACAGGGAATCGTGGCAGCACTGCCAGCACCGAGGTCTCGAAATCAATACTCGGTGTGCGTGAGTCTGTGCCCCGTGTCGCAATCCTCGCAACGCGATATTACGACACGCAGAAAAATACTTGCAGGGGCACACCAGTGCGTATTGCACATATCGGTGCGCGACCCGATTCGTATCGCCGTCACTGGGAACGAGACCGAACCGATCTTCTGCGGTCTTCCACCCTTTGACGAACGTCCTGACTCAGTCAGAGGAGAAATAAAAAAAGAAGCACGGTCCGCCTATCGCGTGACGCATTGGCATCACGATAATTCTCACGTGACCATTCGTACGGATTACCGCGAGAGTACCGATTGCGGGCTCGAGATTCCTCGAGCCATACGTAACGTTACCGTCGTCGCGACGGTACGAAAAACCTGTCCGCCGGACGGCGAAAAAACGAGAGAAAACTATGATCGAGGCTGGCTGCTCGCGGATTCAATGGACGGTTGCCAAGTATTTCGATCATCCGACTGGCAACCGGTCACCGACCTCACGGAATCGGAAAAACAACCCTTAGAATACGTCAGAGGATCGATTCGCGAAGCCACTCCAGTCGCGTTTTATTAAGAAATAATGAGTTCACGCAAACTTCCTTTCGTGGACTCGGCGAGACTTCTCGGTGGATTTCTCGTAAAGGGGCCGAGAGAAAACGATGAGAGAACCGCAAAGACTAGGATCCTCGCCGAGGCGGGAGATAATCTCCGATGGAGAGACGTAATCAAGGGTCGATTCTAGTCGAGCAGGGTCGAAAAGGGTAGCCGCGATAGAGAATTTTGTGCTGGGGTGAGGTTACTGACCTCCTCGGTGCTGGCGTTATCGAGCGGGTCAGTGGGTCGCAGAACCACACAGCACATCACCCCCTGCCCCTCCCGTTTTCACCGTTCACTCCCGAGAACCACCTCCAGGTCCTCCTACCCCCGGATCCTCCCGTGGGAACGCGACCGAATGCGCGGGTGAGCCAGCTCGAACTTCCATGAAACGCTCTCGCGGGGAAAGACTCTAGTTCCCTTTGATAGAATTACGATACTCCCTCATTAAGAACGGAATCCTCGGAACTAGAGATAGGTTTTGTCTAAAAAATGTGCGAACTGAAAGGGGTAGTGTGATAAAGATAAAAATCCGTGTATTGATGACACAACAGTAATGCTTTGACTGTTTCTGAGTCTCGTTTTTCTTGGAAGTACAGGAAGAATCGATAAGAGTTAATTATTTCATAAAAGATTTTATCCTAACGTCTTGAAAGGATCACTCAGATTAAACATAGAGATAAGATTTTCACATTTGAGGAGAAAATACTGTAAAAGCTTATCAGTCTGAAGCAGATGGTCTTCAGGGTTCCTAGCTAGAGCCGTGGGACCTACGAGTCAATGAATTGAACGGGTTGAAAGGGATCATGAAATATCGTTGAGACGCTCTGACAGACTCTTTTGTTCGAGACGAGAGTTTAGACACTTCAGATGATAAATACATTGCACTCGATTAGGAAACTGCAGACATTTATACAAAGGTATCTGTAAAAGATCATACGACTTGAAATAATTACTCCTAAAGCATAGAAGTTGATAGAATTAGTTGGTGAATTATTACGAAATATTGAATGATTCTTTTTGAGGCTTAACAAACTTTGGCTAGAAGCAAGATGAATGACTTCACACGAATCGTGAACGAGATTTACCGACGAGATAAGCGAGATTGCCAATCATGGGTTTTAAGGGAATTGATCGGGAAACGTTTGCCAGAAGAATTGGCGATAGCGCACGCGTTCGCCCCGCAGGGAAATACGCCTAGACAAAAGACCACGACGCATACAGGACGACGAAGTTACGACGGCAAAGGGTGCTTCGCTGATTCTCGCTAACCATAGTCGTGCTCGAACGAGAGAAGGAGAGGACGGTATCTCCGTACAAAGGCGAGATGCTTGTAAATGCATCGATGCCGCGTCTTTAGCCATCCGCTGTTACGCTATGTATACGTCCGGGAGTCTGAAAATAGACCTGAAAGGATTATTTAAATAACTCGAGATCGTGGCGATATAAATGGAAAAGGAGGACGTTGCCTGAATGTTTATTCACCGTTCACCATTCTGAATGAACGCGGTTGGCGAAAGAATGAGACGCTGAACGGGACCGAGCGATTTTCCGCCGTGGAAACGTATTTCCGCGCGAATTCGTGAAAAACTGCGAAGAATAAAGCTCGTCGGAGGGATTGAAAAATTCGTTGAAACGTGGTTCCCGGAAAAGAGTCGGCTCGAGACTCGCGAAGCTACACTGTAAACCCAGTGACCGCGATCACGGGATGGAGAGAAAAAGGGAGAGCAGGTCGAGACGTCGTTCCGCGGAAAAGCTGAAAAGGAAAGCGCGGATTGAATCAAGGGAGCTGCCCTGCAATCGATGGCGAATCGAGAGATGCGACTCGCGAGCGAACCTCCTCGAGTGAAACGGCGGGGGGACGGCTCGTGGAGAGTCGAGAGTCGAGAGTCGAATGGGAGCGAAAACGAGGGCATAGAAAGTACGGGAGAAAAATTCATGACGCAAGATTCTGAGGGAACAAAGGGAGTCCCGGTCTTTCGCGGTAGCCTAGCAGCCGGAGAGGAATCATGGTGGAGGATTCTCGTCGGACCTACGAGACCACAGAGCCAGAGGGTGCGTGAAGGGTACGGTAGCGAGGGAAGGAGGACGGGAACCGCGTAACGAAGAAGGAAGGGACGAGGCGACGCAGAAGGGGTTGAAAAAGACGTGGAGACACCGTCGGGGAAAGAAAGCGGGAAGGAGACGCAGCGTTGTGTGGTATTGGGCAGGCAGAGGTAGAGCAAAAAGAGATTCCGGAAGCGGGAAAGGGACAGGCGAAAAGAGCGATATATAGAGCGAAAGCCACGGATCGCGCAGTGCGCTTGTGCAAGAAGCTGCCGCTGCCCGGGAAGAGACCTCCCGGCCAGCCTCAGTCTCCGGGATGCTGGGGGCGGCGATCGTGATTCTACCCCCATTTCATCGTGCTCCGATAACATAGTCCATCTCGCTCGGCCGCTGTCCGTCCGTCCATCTGTCGCTTCGTTCCCATTCCTCTCGGATTAAACCATCTTCCCTCATCGCACGCTGCTTCCCATAAGGTAGACTCCCTTTCGACGTCTACCTCTCTTCCCTTTGTCCGTCTGTCTCTCGTTCTCTCTCCCTTCTCGATTATACGCGATCTACGTCGCGTACTCACATATTCCTCTGTCTCTCTCCCCGATTCTCCCTTCTCTCTTCATCTCGGCGCTTGCCTAACAAGCCTCTTCCCCTCTCCGTCCCTCTCCGTGCAGCATCAACTTCCTCTTTCTCTCGCCGACCTTCCGTCCTCCATCCCTTCTCCGCTTCTCCGCTTCACACCCTTTTCCGCCGAACCCTGGGTGCAGTCACCGCGAGAACCTTCGCCAAGCCAACCACCTCTCCAGCAGGTGAGGTCTTTTCTCGGGACCGCGCGCTCGGTGGCTGCCGACTCGCTAGTCGGTCGCGTCGGTCGGCTGGTCAACGGTTTTTCGGTACGTCGACGTTCGTCGAGGTGTGTGCGTCGTCGCCACTCGGTTGACGATCATAAGTAAAATCCACCGCGCCGTGCGTCGCGTCGTCGCGTCGACATCGTCGTCGTCGTGCTCGTCATCAGTCATCGAAGCGAGAGTGGCTCGCTCGGCTCCTCGCCTCAGGTTCAGGTTCGTTCGTGTGCAAGGGATTTTCCATTAGCTCGTTCGACCAAGTGCGCGGGATCAGAGAGAGAGGAAAACCTTTGGGGTTGGCCCAGCGCCGAGCCGAGCGGAGCAGCGCGGCGCGACGCGAAACGGTGTCGTTCTTCCCTGACCGATCGTGTTCTCCGTCTCTCTCTTGTTCACCCTTTAGTCGCCCCATCTTCTAGCGATCACTCCCTTTGTTTCCTCGCGTTCGATCGCTGTTACCAACTTCGAAACTCAAGCCCCGAAATTCACACCCCGATTCCGCTCCTGTCCGTTCATCTGAACTGGTCGTGATTCGTCGAGCTTCTTCTTAAGTCATACATGAAAGAACACGATTCTTCTTTAAAAAGAAATAGTCCTTGGAAGGAAATTACTGTCTCCTCGTAGGGTCCATTTCCATCAGATTCGTTCCATAAAATTTTGATTAAGGATCATAAGATATTCATCTGATCGTCCTACGCGCAGGGTACGTTACGCTTCGAGCGCGGCAAAAAAAAAAAAAAAGGAAAAGAAATCCGTGCCGCGCAGGCGTGATTCACGGAATCGAATAAACAGACAGCAACAATTCGGGGAGAGAGTTTTTGACTCGCGCCTGCTGCCCTCCTTTTCGGAAATGGTGTCTCTACACGTCCGGCGAGTCGACTCTGTCGTGCGTCGCGCCCCTGTCAACCCCGATCCGCGCGAATTCTTCTAATCGTTGACCATCCCTGATTATCCTTCGAGCAGAGATCAAGTGTGACCGTACGAAGCTTCTTAACGACGAGGAGACGTTCCATAGGAATTCGTGGAGAATTTTCAAGGTGTTGCATATTAGGTGTTCGCCAAAATGGCGGCTGTGGCTTAACCGACGTACGATCGGGGAGTTTCGCGTATCGGGCATCGTTAGGGATTGTTCTCGGTGCGGGATCAGAAGCAGTCTGACCGATTCGTTAGGGTCCGTTGCGAGGGCAGATGCAATCCGCGATGGTCGGCGGCGGTGATTGCAAGGTAGCCACCGTGGAGGTCGAAGCGGCCGCGGCGGACAACACGGCTACATTACCGGTGACCAGGCCATTGAATCCGCAAAACTCGTCGCCGAACGCGCAGGACAACGCCGAGAAGAACAACGCTGCTAACAAAGAGATGGAGCTGAAGAACGTGCGCTCGACCCCAGCGAAAAAGTAAGAAAACGGCCGTAGAAATGTAGTAGAGGAAGCGGAGAGCGAGAACGCTTATCGAAGAAACTGGGGCGACCCTTTATGTCTCGACGTTTTTCTTCGCGTTTTCTTTTCCCCGTTTTCCATGAAAAAACGCTACTCGCAGCTGGTTCCTCGTTTTAATCGCAATTAGAAACTCGGGCTGAACGCGTAAACTTTGCCGTAGTCGTTTTCAGCGCGCGATTAGCTGAAACGTAACGCTTTTCTCCGTCGTGCAATTACGCTCCGACGAAAACGGGACTAGGTCAAGAATCCACTTGACCGGAGCCAACCGTATAATCCCTGCACTAACGAATGGTAATTATTTACCAGCAACGTTTTCTCTCTTTCTCCTACGTTCTAAAGATTTCGACTTTTCATTGGTTCGTTATACCGCGGTGCCTATTTCAATTGCGTTCAACGGCAATTAAACGAGACATCCGGGTCTAGGGAAGGTCGAATTAGATAGACTATTAAAAAATTCCGTGGAGCCAAACTCGTATAGTTTCTCGATACTTCGGACGTTCGGCTGAATATCCGTTCCGGAATTCCGATAACGCGTCGGCAAATACTGGGACGAGTATCCTGCTCTCGGGACGCACGACGTCCGGAAACGCGAACGTCCGCTCGGGAACGCCTGAGCGTAACGATTTCCAATCGCGGCCATCCTTTAGACACAGGCTAGATCGCGTTTCACTCTATGGTACAGCCATGATTGTATGTCAAAGAGAGGATTTCAATGAACGCGTTTCAATGACGCAACGAGAGAAGAATGCGGAGTCTTATAACGATGCAAGATAAATCCGCGATGGTACTACACGTTCCATTTAAAAATAGCGTTACGAACATTTCTGTATATAAATAAATGAAATATCTGTTTGTTGAGATTTTTTGATAATCATGACCAAAAATATCTCTTTCCACAATCTCAATTTAATTATAAGCTGTCTTTAATCAAGTCTTATATTTAAATACTGATTTACATGGTTTTATTAAGGGACGTCTCACACGAGTCTTCATATTTTACAAGGTTTTTGTTCGTTTACAAAATCAATGAACACGAGAATAATTTGTCATTGACTATGCTGTGTGAAGTTACAATTTTAAGGAGAATAATTCCAAGCGTCAGACGTCTCTCCACTGCGGCCTCGTGCCATTCATCACGAGACGATGCGACGACACTCGTTGCGTTCGACTCGAAGCGCAAGAGGCGAGAGAAAAACAGACGGTTGGAAGCTTTCGTCTGCGTGCGCGTCTATTTACGACGCACTTCGTTAAGCCTGGCCGCGGTGCGCTTCCTATGAAGCGCGGCTTGCGTCTAGTGCCGCGCACAATATAAACGCGTGTTTCTACGTACGTAGGAGGCCCCGAGTTTATGCACTCGCGCACGTACCCTGCCGTTGCGTTGAAACGAAACACGTAACTAACCGAGCGACGAGGTTGCGGCCACGAACGAATGGAAATCCGTTCTCGGGAAAGGAATCGAGGAAGTGGAGCGCGAATGGATTTCGAGGCGAGGGACGAGGGTTACGCGGTTTATCTTCGATATATCGAGCCGCCCCTTCTCCCGCCGGAGGGTGTGGATGAGACAGCTTGTCGAGCATTAACCCTGGAACGCGGCGACACCTTTTTTTTACATGGAAATTGATGAACGCGTGTGAAGCGTAAAAACCGGACGCCGGAGGGAACATTTCTGAACCTCTGGGATCGCTCAATTGCGTTCCTCTCGTCGTTGCCAGATGAAAATCTTAACGAACGCGTCAGACTCACAGATTCTTGCAATGCTTGTCAGGTTTTAATAGTAGCTGGTTCGGTTTTATAATAAATGAGACTCAGAACGAAGGCGAGACTTTTTTTTGGCAGAATTTGTAATCCGTATTTAAATTATACAAGCGACGAGAGAAAAATGGATCGTATCGATTTTCCATATCGCGAGAGCGAGCATCGTGGAACGGGCACGAACCAGTTTCGCCGCGAGATTCATAATTTATTACTAATATCGATCGACTGGCAAAGTGTGACAGTGATACGGCACGCCACGGCGGTTATGCATATAGTACACGCGTCGCGTATACGACCGAGTAATGCCTTCTCGAATTACACAGTCGCAGTCGCAATTGCATTAACGCGGGTTGAAAGCGAACCTCCGCGTCGCCTAGACAAACCGAGGCAAGACAGTGTTGCGGGCCCCGTGAACGCGGTCGTACATACCTTCTCGCGGCGGCGTCGACATATGCAAACGAAAATAACACTGAAACGTTTACCGTGAATTAACCGCGTAAACTACGATCAACTAAATTGTTGAAATAGAATCCATTAGTTAAAACTGACTAATAATAAAAAGATTGAAAGATGAATGTATACTAAGTTTTGAACATGAAGACCGTATTTGATAATTTCACGAATTTAGTGTCAGGTGTAATCAACGCTTCATTTCGTGATGGTGACTGAATCATTGAAAGAGAGTCGAGACGTGTATGCAGGGTCTTAATGGTCGAATAATGGGGTTGACCAAGGAACGTGAAAACGATCCGTGGAAAGAATACGGTCGTGATTGAACGGGGAACCGGGGGGCTGCGGGAGGGGGCGCGGGCGGTAGCGAAATTCGTTGAGAGAACACAGATGAGGCGAGGGTGAGTCGAGAGAGCGAGGGTACCAGCGCGTACAGACGAGCGAGAAAGAGACCAGCGGCTGAAAGTAGGTACTTCGGAAATATCGACCGGCACCGGGAGCCTGTGCGCTGTTTCCACTCCTATTCGTCGCTTTTCTCGTTTAGAAGTGGAAAAAAGGCCGCACCGCGGGAACACACACTGCGGCCTATCTCTTCTCCCCTATTTTTTACTGGCGGCCATCGCGTCGCGTCACGAAAACTTCGAAAAACTTTCATAACCCGAGGCGCCAACGATTTGTCCATCTCTGTTTCACCCGTTCGCTGTGCTTATAGAAAAAAATTATGCGTTCCGTGTGAAAAATTCGCGAATTTTTACAATTCGAGACGACGTTGAAAGTGGGCGAACAATATAATATTTATTTAGAGTAGAAAAAAGTTACCGATATTTTCTATGAATAATAGCTTCGATATGTAATACAGATCGTGAGATTATTTTAAAAAGTCGCGTAGGTGAACGAAGTAGGCGTCGAAGAAAAATACCAACGGGTTACGCGGTTCAAGAAAATCTTCCCGCGCGTCTCGCTAAATATCATAGATCCTTTATGCAGGGCGTCACGATAATTATCGAACAGTGTAAAAGAGAGAAAAAAAATGCCCGACACGAGTGTACTGGGCTCGTGCGGAACACAATAAAGTCTGCACCCCAACCCCTGAAATGGCAGCGTGACAAAGGGTGGTTAAGCCCTTCTTGACAAAGATGCACCATACCGAGGCCGAACCCCTGATATTCCGGTGCAGCCATCGCGACGTGACGCGACGCGGTGCGACCGCGGTGCGCCGATTAATAAAAAATAGTATTTCTCATTGCCGTCGTCGATATTGTATCGCGCGGTCGCGTGTCCTTCAAGCCGAGAGCGGGAAAAGAAGGAAGGATCCGGTTTCGCGCGCGATTAATTTCTATCGAGATCCGTCGTGCGGGTTCTCTCCCTCTCTTCCTCCCTTTCGCGTACGCAAATTATCGATTTCGCGACCGAGCCTTTGACGAGAAAAGAACGGGACGTCGAAGCGGAACAGGAGTGCGTGAGTCTCCGAAGCGTCGCGTCGTCTCGGGGCACGGAAACTTTCAAACCTGGCGTACTTCAGGGGTTTCTCTCGGGCCACGGGGCGACCTGAGGGGTACGCGGTCGGACGAGACCGGCGCGAGTGTTCCGATGATCGAAATTAGCTGTGCGGCCGGCTGCGAGAAAAAGAGGAAAGGAAGACTGTGAAAAATCGACGAGTTCTCGGACAGCTTCGTTGTTCGACAACGAAAATAGCATGCCGAGAATCGACGCGCCGGCGACGTCCAGTCGACGCTGGCGAATGATCCGAGCTTGACGCGTGCGTGTAAATACGTTTTCACGTTGACTGCCCGGCGATGAAGTAGAAAAACTGTCGAGACGTGCGAAAAGTTGAAAGGGTATACGCGATGGAAGTGGAAATCGTGCCGTGTTTAGAGAAGAACAAAGTGAACGGAGGCGAGGGTGCATCCAAACACGGTAGTAGGGTACAGATAGTGAGAAAAACGCGGTAAGACTCGAGAAAGGCACCGGTGATCAAGACTCATAAAAAAAACGAAAATCATATCATAAGTCACGAGATCGCGAAATTGTTTCATGCCCGCAAACGAATTTCTGTTTCTCTTTTTCTTTATAGAACGTCGTTATTCATCATCATGAGCTTCATTTACGCGAAGCTTCTAGTGGTGGTGTGCATCGCGTACGTGATAAGCGAGGTGGTCACGCACAAGCTGCCGCTTTACTATTACGAGGGATTCTTCACGTATCTGTACGGCGTAAGCATCTTATTCCTGCTGTACGTGTTCTGCTTCTTGCTCCAAGAAAGTGCTTGTTGCGCGAGAGGAAGCGACTCGCCTCCGCCGCCTCCGAGGCCGCCGAAACCGCCGAAGGAGCCCAAGGAGAAGAACAAGAAGAAGGACAAGAAGGATAAGGAGCAAAAGGCAGCGAAGAATAAGAAAGAGTATCAGGTGAGATGTTAACAATTTCTAAATATTCTTTTACTAGTCAAGTGGATCGGTTTACTAAATGATGTGCAAAGAAAATCTGCTTAACTGCTATAAATCTTTTCCTCCTGGTTTCTATCATTCAGAATTTTCTTTACGCGTCATTCAATAAACTTCCTGAGAACAAGTACGTTCGTGGTAGTAGCTAGAAACACCGGGATGAGTCATCGACCGTAACTAATTCCGCGGTTTGCAAGACGGGCCACCGCAGCGTACGTGAAGCGTATGTATTTCGGTTCGTTGGGTGTATCGAGCCGATGATCGCGCGATTTTAAATAAAAGAGACGCCCGCGGTGCTGACGTAAGTGGGTTACCCATCGTCGTCGACCATCTACTCTGGAAAGGCACGTGCTACGTGGTTCGTCCATTCATTATCACGTGAATCCACTTTTGATCTGAAAACTCGGCAGTTCCGTCCCTCATTAAAGTTTGCTGTAGTTTTCGGTACTCTGGCGTGCATTTACCAAATTCGATTCGAATAGTTGAACCGTGGTTTAGGGCTGATTAAACGCATGGGGGATCACTAAAACGAAAATTATGATCCAGGATGCCGTCGACGTCGAGGCTGGAGTGGCTACCAGGGCTCTGCGAAAGCGCAAGACCTCGCAGAACGATCAGAGCCACGGAAGCTTCTTCCTCAGAATCGGAGCGATCGGTGAGGAAATTAAACTTTAAAATTTGACTGATGAAATTTCAGTCGAAAATTTGAATTGGAAATTGCTCGGTAGCTTTTGGATTGGGCACGATGGTTTACAATGGTTTGGAATTCGGTACCTTCTTCGAAGTACCACCCACGTCACCCTGTTACCAGATCCTCCAGGGTGTAAATCCGGTTTTACAAATGATCTTCACGTTCATGCAGATGTACTTTATCTTCATGAATTCGAGGGTAGGTGCAGAAAATCGAGCGAATATAAACGTAGATTTTTCATACGGAAATTATCCGCTTTCTCAGCTGAACATCCATCGCTTCAAAGTAATCGCCCGTTTCGGTCTGATGCACGTGGTGGCGACTAATCTCTGCGTCTGGATCCGTACTCTCGTGTTAGAGAGTATCAAGGAGATCACGAAGCATCATCAGAAAATGGGTCAATTCGAGGCGGGCATTCTCGGTAAATCCATTACAATTAAAATAAATTTATGCTTCGTCTTGTGACAATAATTCGTGAGAGAATATCATAGCGTTCGAGATGAAACATTTTTGAACGTCGTGACGAAACATGTTTAGAGAGCATTAAACAGCACTCGATGCGAAACGCTGGGGCCATACTGGGTACAGCACCTCGAGACGTGGCACTCTTGCGCGAGGCGCCGTTGACAGCAACGAGGTCGTCGACCGTCACCACATCAATCGCCAGCACGACCATCGCGTCGTTAGGTCGAGTGATGCGAACGACAGCCAGGGCGATCGCTAGGGCCGTCACTACACCGACAACGACGACCACCACCAACGGCTGGAACCCACCTACGTCGACGACGACGTCCACATCCGCACCCCCACCTAATTTGACAGAGACTACAGCGAATACCTTGTCCACTATTTTGACCACCCTTACGCCGAAAACTAGCACTGAACTAAGAACCTTTCCAACGACTACGACTACGACTACTACGAGCACTACCACCACTACTACTCCATCGACCACTGCCTTTTCCATCATGGAACTGTTCTATGCACCTCGAGCTGAGAGTAAAATAGTAGACGAGGTAACAAAGTTTTTAATATAATTATCACAAATTAGAAATCTGAACACGTAGGAAAAATCAATTTAAATTTATCTTTATCCTATCTGGTGACTGTGCAAAGTTGAACGAGATGGGATAAACCCCATTTTTAAGCCAGACTGAAATAAACCTCGTATACATTTGTAATCCTGTCTGAACTGAAGAAACGTAATTTCTCTTAGAACCAGATACACCAAATCTTCGACGTGAGCAACCAAACGAATACGAGCGACTTTTGGAACCCGAACTTGGGTATCTACGCGGAAGCATTGACGGACGAGGAAATCGCGTCGAACTCCTGCGGCCGGGTTAACATAATGGGCACCATCGTGCAAGACGCGGAGCCGTACCTGTTCCCGTTCATCATCGAGTACAGTTTGATCGGTGCAGCTGTGATTTATGTGATGTGGAAGCACATTGGCCGACATCCCCGCTGGCCGCACCAGATGGAAGCTGACCTCGAACGCCGTTTGGAAGCCATGCTCTCACGAAGAGCCGTTGCCCTGGCTCATGCAGGTAACTTTAATATGTTTTATGTTTAGCTAAGATTTTTATCCGCCAGAATTTGCTTACGTCTGCTAAGTTAAGGTTGCTCTGGCCATAAAATCTCCACATAAAGTTATACATGCTCTAAAAAGAAGTGTATTAGCTAATTTGCTGGAGTTCTAATTGAAATATGATGAAAAAATTATTAAAGTCGTTTAACTACTGTTTTCTTCTCATTTTAATATCGAGTTTCAAGTGCTTTTACTATTTATAGCTCATTTCAGTCGTTTCAGAGTTACTGCATGCGTGAATTTATGAAATTCATTTCTTTTCTTTTATTCTCTCATCTCAATTTCTTTCATCATCTTCTAATTACTCATTATTATTAATAAAGTTCGTAATTTTTTCCTTTCCTTCTTTCTTTTCAATTTAACGTAGCTTTATTAAATTTCGTAAGAATAGACATTAATTTCAAAACGAGCTTCTCAGCTCCTTTCTGCGACTGATAATAACTATTTATCAGCAAAATTTCGAACACTACCTTATTTTATAGCCAGAACAACTTTAAGTGCTTGCCAAAGTCGCGTTCGGTAATAAATTCCGATGACCCGACGAGCCTCGACTAAACTCGAAACGCTTGAAGCATCCGGCCGCTGAATTGCTCGAAAGTAACGCTCGTGGCGAGACTAAAAAGAACGTCCTCTCAACGTAAAAATAGGTCACACAAGGGTGGACTGTGTAGGAGCGAGCAAGGGACTGTTCTTCGGCCTCCTCCTGCTGGTTGGCTCGCTGATCTGCCTGATCCTCTTCTTCGTGCTGATCCATCATCCGGATTTCGGATTGATCGCGATCTACCTGGCGGACGTGTCCCACTGCGTGCTGATGGTGTTCTCGATCGTGGCCATAATCGTCGGTTTCATCCGTGTCCAGAGCTTGAAGTTCAAAGCAGAGGAGCAGAGCGACCTGAACGACATTCTGCTACGCGTCTCTGGCTTCGGTCTATTCGTTTACGCGGTGTTCAGCGTGATAGCCGGCTCGCTGGCCGCGTTCACGCACGAGCCGAACCTCCTCGTAATGCTGACCGGCCTCCTGTCGGTCGCTCAGGTGATCCTCCAGATGCTGTTCATCGCGGACGTCTCTCGCAGACGAGTCCACCTGCCTGAGCACGACCGCAGCAAGCCCGGTCGGCAGGTGGTCACCTTCCTGTTGATCTGCAATCTGACCATGTGGGCGATCTACACGTTCGAGTCGCAGAAAGTGATGGCTAACCCGGTCCAGCTCGATTTCTACGGGTTCCTCGCCTGGGCGATCGTGCAGAGGGTCACCTTGCCCCTCTGCATCTTCCACAGGTTCCACAGCGCGGTCACATTCGCGGAGATATGGAAGACCAGCTACAAGGCGCGTCTCGACTAGACGGCGGAAGTTGACCAGAAGCTCGTCGGGATCAATGGCCCGGAGTGATCGTCGTTTGCGGACAGAGAGGAAACGAAGGAAAAAGATAGAGAGAGAGAATTGAGAACGATCGAGGCCGCCGATCGCGACGACTTTAAACATTCCTGGCGAGCCAGTTGGTTGGTCTCGAGGTTTCGGTCGACCTTTTTATCGTTACGGTTGAATCGGTCCCACGATTCAACCGTGTTGGGCGAGGGGATGGATAATGACGACTTGAACGGTAACAACAGGTAAGAAATAAAGGGTTCGAGGTTTCGACGATTAATTGGACATATCTTGTGGGCGTTGTTGGATCGCTGGAAAAATCAGCTAGCTCGCGGTCTCCTTCTGAATATCTTCCAAGGATGAGTCGAGACGGTAACGATTCAGAGCCGAACAGGGACGGCTTCCCCGTTGAGGAGCGAACGGGAGATACGTGCGTACTCGGTTCGAGAAGAGAACACGAGGCTCGGGAGTGAAAGGCTCAAGGTATCGATGCCGCATCCTCGAGACCTCGCGGGGAAACCGCGGGGTCGCCGCCGAGGACCGCGCAAGCGTCGTTTTATTTTTTTACGCGCATTATATATTTTGTCCTCGGTTCTCTCGTTAGCTTCAAGCAGCTTGAACGTTGCTTCGTTGGTTGGTAACAAATGTTCAGAGCACGGTTCGGGAAGAAACAGGTCGATCGATGACCGTAGTGAAAAGGAGAAACAAATTTCGAACGGATAATGAAATTATTAATTGTATTCGCCACGTTAAAGCACAAAAAACCATAGCAATGAAAGCGAACGTGTAAGTGCAACGCGATTCGTCACGACAAAAAAAAAAATAGGGCCCATTTCCTTTTACCAGGTTTCACAACCCTTTACGATCTCTATATACTGCCGTGAAGTTTTCTACTTTTATATATTATATATGTACCTTCTTCGCCTACCCCCACCCCCCTCTCCCATCGTGCATCGAAAGCATCTTGGCGATCGATTCGCTCTTCGACTCTACGTACTTCGTTCCCAAAGCACTCTTCGAACTTGTTCAGACGACGTTACCTCGGTCGCTGGACCAACGCATTTACACCGAAACCGAAAACAGATAATCCCGAGATTGTAAACCGGACATCGAATCGCGATCAAACGTTCCAGAGTAAAAGACGAAGAGCGAACGATCTTAAAACGTCACTTCACAAAAGTCACATTAGCGGACGACGAGTTCGTCAGCGTGGCCCGCGATAGTATTTAAGTGAATAGCCGCGCGTGATCTCTTTCTCGCGAGAAAGGATGGCACACTGTCGACGATAAGGTTCGATGCAGGAACAGGGTAATTTCGTTGCGCCGCGTTCGAGGCTCGATAACATTTTTCGAACGATTGCTTTCGCACCGTACTGTTTCACGCGAGTACTCGCCTGTCGGCGAACAGGGAATCGAGACACGCCGGAGATAGATCAAGGAAGACAGTTGTTCGTTCCCGCTGCGTGCCGCGAAGAGTACAAAATTTTTTCCCGAAATCGAAGTTTTAGAATCCTTTCATTCGAGTCCACCCTCCGAAGGCTGAAGGGCGTTCCGACGGCGTCGACGTATTCGAGTCACAGACGAAAGAAGGAAAAGGCTGGGCGATGAGGGAAGAGATACAAACGAGTAGAAGAGTGTTCTGTGTGTATAAAGAGTAATTTTTTTTATATATTTTCTTTAACGTGAGCACGGACGTCGGAGACGAGCTCGACGATGTTCGCGAAACGACGGAGAGGGCATAACGACTAAAACGCGGATGTAGGATTTATCGCGAGGCTGAGAGGCTCGAGAGCGAAGACGCGATATTGTAGACGAAATTGACTACGACACACACGCGACACACATTGGTAGCTAATTTCACACACGAGACATACAGGCCACGAACACACCACCCTCTCACAGAAGGTTATTATTAATTACCATTGTCGATTAGCGCTTAAAGACGCGTCTCTCTCGAGAAACGGAGATATTGTATATTGATCTTTCGCATTTAACTTCACTATGGATATCGTACGTTGTAGATCGTTGATCAAGCGAAACCAGAAAGAGAAACACGTGTGTTTTGCATAGCGATTAACACATTTAAGAATCCCTCCACGGATCCTGCGAAAACCTGGAGACACGAAGGACCCGGCCCCTTGCTTCCCTCCATGGGAAGCCTCCCCAGTCGAAATATTAGCTATCCGAGTCTAAATATTTTAATTCTTAGACGTATGTATAGGACGATGAAACGATTACCAAGAGAGAAAGAATTAATGAGAGACTGAGAAAGGGATGAGACGGGCAGCGAGAGGGACGAAGTTGTGAAACTAATTATACATAATTGTAATCACCGCAAAACATTATTAAAGAAGTAACATGATATAAATATGAAAAAAATTAAGAAATATATTATATATATATAGATATATATATATATATTATATTATATGAATACGATTATGGAGATCTTTTATTGATGACTTCGATGTGCGCGACCGACGAGTGGGATATGTTGCGTGCAAAAATATATGTAAATAACGATTGCACAGTACATTATTGTTCAGCTGAGTGTTGTAAGTGACAAAACGAAAAAGCAATTACGACGAGTTACGTTTCACGAGGCGCGTTTTCGATCGCCAGGGGGTGTTTCTGTGATTCAAACAAGTCTCTAAAACTTCGACAAGCAACGTCGATCCGATTACTGGCTATTGATCGACGCGCACCCCCTTGCCCTTGATTTCTAACGCCTCGATCGAAAAAGATCGTGTCCACCGTTTTTGGAATTTGATAAATCAAAAGGCGAAGCAAGCATCCGTTTGGTTCATCCTCCGCTCGTATCGGAAACAAGGAAGCGAACACGGAATGAAGACGCTGTGACATACAAATTAAAACGTAGTTAACAAGGCACTGCCACACAGGACCAACAGCGAAGATAGCGAGGAGACAGAGGCGGAACGGAGGGAAATAGCGAGCGAGAGGAACGGGAGGGAACCAAAAATGATGCCACGGCGAATTAATTTTTTTCCGAGCAGAGAGTAGATTCAAGTTGTACGAAACCAATACACTTCCAGCAAGTTATATCGAGGTACGAATGCGCGAGTATATGGAATATTGCGAATGACTGTGCGGATTTAAATGCGCGCGTGCGACAACTTTTTATTCGGCAAACAACGTCTTTGTATACTCTGCCCGTGTTCTAGTGAACAAGAGGATCATGGTTCTTGTATATGTACATCAGTATCTCGATAGTAGCCGTAAGCCTAACCAGTTTGGTCGCGGATTTGCTGGAAAACCGACGAGGGGGACTCGCGGCGATAAATATGCACGTTCGTTTCGGGCTGAAAAAATTACGAAGAGACGATTAGAATGTCGTGACGATCGCATTAGCTGCTCCGATCACGCGAGCGCAATTATTTCCGGTGACGGCGAGGATTAGAAAGATGAAAAAAAAATGCAAATCGGCCGCGGATCGAAGGCAAATCCGCGACGGGCTCGTCATTTAAACATTACGTAGTGAGTTTTCGATGTCTTCGAGCATAATTACAGTTTGTACACGTACACAATACGCGCGCACAACCGACATTACTCACCACTCTTGTCAAAAGATAGGTAACAGGACGGATTCCAGGCATGTACGAATATGTACGGAGGAGGTGACGATCGGACGACGACGATGGTTCCACACGGAAGAACGATGCGATTTTAGGATAACGTTTCAAACAACACGTAGGATATACAAGGATTAAAAACAACAAAACAACAAAAAAACAAACTTCTACAAATTACATGTTGTCGTGTATATGCAGTTCTTTGAAAGTCGAGTAGCGACGATAAGACCGTACCGTAAGCCAGACACACTCGCAAAGAGATTCGCTCATTCATCGATTCCCATTTTTGATTGTAATAACGTTATACACACCGTTTCATTGTAATCCGTTGTGACGGTGCCGTCGCGACGCCGCCGGCACCGCCGTCATTTGTAACGATATACGATTATATTGGTTAATAAAAGTTATCTAGATGTAACGAAAACTCCTGTGTCCTCTCCATTATTGCATGCCAATTGTTTTACTCGTCATTTGAAATAAAATGAAAACCGCTATTAGAACAAACGAAACAATTTATTAAAATCCAATAATATCTAATTTGCACAAACTTAAACATACAGTGGCAAAAATTCGGACACCTTTGAAAGCAGAATAACCTTCTTAATTCTTTTATNGATTCGCGCGTTTCACTATACCGTAGAGGGTATATGCTTGCAGTGAATAAACTACTCTGTCAAGTGAAGGTATAGTGTATGGTGCAGAATCCTGTAGACGCTAGAGTTCGAAAATGACAAGCTTGTATGCAATTGAAAATTTGATTTACACGCGAACTGCATTTTCTTCTGTGCCGCTTTTAAAAATCGTTTTCGTTATTAGTTTACTATTACAGGTGAGTGCCGTAGTCGGTAAATCTGATGCCAAACGGCAGATGGCGAGGCAAGGTACGGTTGCAATGCAGGTGCAAAATGCACACTGTATTTAGCGCGTAGGTACTATCGTGGCGTAATTGAAATTTTCGAACAATAGCTGTTTTCATACATGAATAACTCAACGCAACTAGTAACTACAATCTGAAACATGCATACTTCAGTCTTGATTTTACAACGTACTTTCGCTCGTTTAACTAATCTATGAGAGAACGTAATATAAAATGTAATTAATAATGAATTAACTAAACCGTGAGTGTTTCATCTGAGAGGCAAAGGAATTAAAACTCGTGCAGAAAATAACGGGCACCGGGGGGGCGCTAACAGGAAACCGGGGGACCGGATCGAACAAGAAAACAAGCCGTAAAATGGCAGCTGAACAGAGGAAAAAACGAGGAAACAAAAGAGAAAGCTACGTGAGAATAGCTGCGTGCGTGTATCCATCGCACAGAGGCGAAGCGTTCACGGTGAAGAAGCTGGCTCGTAAACGACCGGTAAACAATTAGTCGCGCCGTATGGCGGTGAATCATTATTAAAAGACGATGACGACTGTCTTTACCGCGCTTCGTTGTCCCGGTCACTACCGTTACCGTGCCAACGTTTAATTTGCGTAAAGGTGTGTTTCAGGGGTGCTAGTTGAAAGGCAGCGGATGTGGGTGCGCGACAGAAAAGGAGGCGAACGCGACGCGACGCGACGAGCCAAAAGGCTCCCGGGGAAAGAGCAACGAGGAGCTGCTGCCTCTCTCATTTGCCTTTCAATACCGGTCGTTCCCTTCGTCTTCTCCTCATTGTGACAACGACGCGACCATTGTCGTGCCACCGTACACCGTGTATTACCTACCTGTTCGTTCGTGTTGTTCCGTGTCAGCGTGGGTGGCGGTCGTCTTCCTCGGCGTTCTCCTCTATGGAAATCGCGTTTTCGTCTACCTTCGCGCGCCGTCATCGTTCGATCCCAGAGAAATTCTTATCATTTATGTGTGTTGCCATCAGAATCCAATACCTGAAACAGAGGACGTTGTTCTTATGTGTAACAGCGAGATCATATTAATTTATATCACATAATTTTATTGTTCTTGTCAATATTTTCCTCTCTTTCCTATGTACCAGGTATTATACCTAGGCTCTCTCATTCTACTCCAATCTGTATTCTCCGTTCTCCTCCCTCTACCTTCTGCCACACAGTATAGAAATGTTAATAATTGTTATATTATCTCGTAACACTTTATGAAACCAGAAACCTTGTTTCGCACACACGTACTTAGAATCGTTAAGCTGTGGCACACATGTTACACGATTGTCTTAAAAATATTTGTGTGACTCGGTGTTCTCTTATTTGCTGCCTCCGAATTATAGTCGGAAGCCTTGCAAAGAAAGCCAGTCCCGTGATTCGCAGCGACGTCAGTTGGCTATTTTTTTCACACGGGAACTAAGGTAATAATCCGTATAATGGCCGTTAAGCGGGGCGACGATAGGAGCGAGTGCGAGCGGAGTCGAGCGGAATCGGAGAGGATCCGGCCGCGTAAAAGGCGCAGCGAAGCAGATCGGGGGACCACGCTACTCGGTTTTGTACCGCTTAAGCTAATGAGCCACAGATGGCGATATATCGTCGGGCCCCGTTTTACATAACGCGGTGTGTACACAATATAAAGTGGGCCGAAATGCGAGGGAGAGAAGATAGATCCGTCCACGATACACGGAATCGTTGCAAGGTGGCTGAGAAGTCGGCCCGAAAGGGGTTGCACGGGCCCTGCCAGCCTCGGTTTCGGCCCGATCGTTATCTCGGCCAGCCGGTCGCGCGCGGCTACCGCGTCCGATCTTATCTCCACGCGATATGCACCCTCCTTTTAACCCGGTGCACGACCAACCTGCACGCCGCTAAATACACACGCGTGGCTCAGCCCGTCTTTTCGCTGGCACAGACGCAGATGCGCCTTTCGCCTTGCACTGCTTGCATCGCGGCGCATTCCTGAAAAAATGATCTCGAACTGATTTCGCGTTGATCGCTCGCAGAAAGATATGCACAGATCCATTGACATAATAAGAAATTGTGTTATGTATTATAACGTGTTAAATTATGTGTAACGAATTAGGTATTTGTTTTAAAGGGCAAAAGGTATTTCTTATAAACTTTAATAATTATGAATCCTCTATGAATATAAATGAATAAACTAATAAAGTTCAGATTAAATAGAGTACATAATCGCCATTTTAAAAACTTCAATGAACTTTTATAAATAACATTTTTCTTATAAAGAACATCAGACTGAGCAGGTTAACCGTAATGAACGCAGGGCACGTTTCTTTGCTCTTTTAAAATCAGGTGCTCAGCGCGCGTCAAGCCGGAGGCGAGAAAACAGAGCGAAAGAGAGAGACACAAAAAGCGGGGCACGTGGATTGCGGATCGAAGGCTGCGCCGGCTGAAATCTGTACGAATCGGGAGCAGCCGTGATTTCGCGCCGCGAGGCTGCCGCGCGATTTCACGGCAGCTGCGGTAGGAATCGTCAGGACACGACGCGCAGGCCGGACGAACTTTCTTGCACAACGTGAAATCGGGAACAGCCGGGTTCGGTGTTTGTCTTCGCGATACAACAATCGCCGATACCCAACAGCCTGCGCCTCCTCTTCTCCTTTCGAAAAACGCGCTCCGTCTGACGCGAAAGCGACGCGGAAACAATGAGACAATCGAATAAAACGATAGCGGAGCGTGCGATCGAAAACGATGATTAAAAAAGACAGCCTCCGCTGCTCTTGTTTGCACTCCTTTCGAAAGTGTTTCCGCCCACAGGGCGGAATAAGTGCATCCTTAATTAGGACCGCCGATAAAAGGATAATAGGCAGAGACCGCGTTCGTGCACTTCCCTTCGTGTCTATATACTTTCTTCTTCTTCTTCTTCTTCTTCTTCTTCTTCTTCTCTTTCCATTTTCTCGTTTCCTGCTCCTTTTATTCCAAGTCGTTAGCATCGGGTTTCATCGACGCGTGAAGAGATATACCTGTCCCTCGGTAATACGTACGCGCGATTCCGAATAGTGCCACGTCGCTGATGCTAGACACGGCTATAATTTCGCCGTTTCTTCGGCTCCCACGGAATAGCAATTACGCTCGTATCGAGACATCTGTAAATTGCCCTCGGATTGCGCACTTCTGTTCGAAGTAACCCGTGGAAAGGCAGTTTCGCGAGGGGGACTTGTCCACCGCGCGTTAAAACCTTCGCCCGTCAAGACTCGAGGTGCAATCGTTATTTTCAGCGAATAGACAGATTTAAAATTCACCCACGGTTCCATAAATCCGACGTATAACTGGCGGTCTGTTATCGCGAAAATTACGAGCAGAGTCAACCGAAGTCGTGCGAGCAGCGAGCAAGAATTTTCGCGACGCTCCTAAATTCCCGTCGCGATCTTTTCCTTTATTCCCCTTCTTTTTTTTCTCTTTCCATGGAACGACATGGGCGGTTGCATAAAGTGGGTGGTCTGCACTTATCTGCACAACGCGCATACTATAGCAGCAACTCCGGCTCTCCTAGCCACGTACTTATGTTAAATTACAGGCGGGCACACGCGCCACGGCCATTACTTTCTTCCTTTACGTACGTTAGCTAGCGACGACTAATCTAGTCGTAGATGTTTCATGGATTCATGGATAAAAATAGATTTGCCAATAGGAAAAGTCATGATGTACCCGTCCGTAAACATTAGTACATAACTCATGCAAAACGTAATTTTTGATCTAAATTAAATAATGAACAGACAGAAGTCTATCACATGTGTTTGCTCATATAATTATGTAATTATAGCGCATATACACTATTGTATTATTAAATATATATTGTATAAACTATTATATTGGACCGTGTTACGCAAAACGATCGTGTAACCCGAGTTCCATATTTGGCAAGATAATTTTTGGCGGACAGAATAAGAAATAATTGTTGCGTTCAAGTAAATTTTCGCATACGAATAATACACTGGAATGGCGAGTGTCATACTGTCTGTAGCCTCCTCTTTCAAGTGGAACTCGGAGCGGACGCGTGCAAGTGCATCGCGGTCCGATTACTCGTCTCGTAACACCTGACCACCTCGTGCCGCCCTCGTCGAACAAGATATGCTCGCGTTCCTTTCAACCGGGTGAAATTCTTCGGTTTCGCGCGGCCACCGCGAAACAATTCATCGTCGCGGTCTCCGGCGTGGCGTGCCGTGGCATCGGGCCACCGCCTTCCATCATCGATCTCCTTCTCACGGTTTCTCCTCGCAGACAGCGGCGAGCAGAAAAGACGAGAAAAGGAAACGAACCGGTGCACCCAGATCGCACAGCCTCGCGGTAGAAAGGGAAGAGGAAGGGTGACATCGGCGGTGGACGAACAGAGACGGAACGACGGGAGAGACGAGGCGAAGAATCGAACGGAGTTATGAAAATAAGGCGAAGCCGGAAGGGGGCGTACGATAAGCGCATGCGACGATCGACACGCAACGCACAAACGCTCTAATTTTAGATCTTGTCACTCTGACGCCAGCTGGTTTGCCCCTCCCCGCCTATTACGCGCGTTTACGCACACTTACGCGC